GCTCATACAGTATCTCCTCCTTGGCTTTCACCCTGATCAAAATCTGGGTTGATTGCTATATTTATTTCTGACTTAGTTAGTCCCCCAACACATGTGTGGTCCTTCTTGTCCAACCTCAAGCTATATTTATACAGGCGATTTAACTCTTCTGTGTTTAGAGTTCACAGCCCCTCGAGAAATGCTGAAATCCCACACATTGGCTACCATTTGTTTACAACATGGTTTATTCTGTAAGATGCGTTCAGGGACGGAGGGGACAACTTGGATCTCTTCCAAGGACTGTATTCCTGTGGGAGTGGAAAGGCTCTTCGAAAATGCACTTCCAATAACTTTCTAAGATATACAGCAGTCCGTAGTGCATACATCCAAGTGAATGTACACATAACACACACACACACACACACTAATCCACTGACACATAAACACACACATTTGACCATGGGAGCAGAAACTGGCCTGCTTTTTAATCGCAGAGACGAGGACATTTGGCACGTCCGTTTACAATCAATGATCACATTATACCGCAACGATAAAAAGTCACAAATAAACATCTGCTTCTGACATATCACACAAATATATAAGTATTTAGAAAATGGTAACCAGCAGGCTTCTGCTATGTTTAACATGTCTGTACAGTACAAAGGCCTTTTCGGTTTTTGGGAGAAACCGGTCACAATGTTGTTTTGCTGTACATATATACGTCATCACGTGGTTTTATATTGAGCTTCAAGGCACATAGATAACAGTTACTGCACAGAGAAGTACGTATCCATGGCTGTACACCGTCAGAAACAAAGCATGTTAGTTACAACCAGTTAGGATTATATCTGAAGTGTTTGACAACCCACATATTATTTTTATTTCTGTGACAAAATGACTACAATTTCCTGCTGATGATAACCAAATACGCTACAGAAGTTGCTCTCGTTGAACCCAAAACTCAAGTGTTTCTGTACCTCTTTTCTAAAGGTGTATCTAGCAAGAAATGTGGCCGACCAGTAGGGCTGGGTATCATTTGAGAAAACTACCAATACCAGTAACTTTAAAGTGAAATTACCAATAGATTTGATGCCTTTTTTCGACTTAATTTGAGTCCAATCTTGTAAATAGATGCATCCAGTTGATCGACAATCCATCCACATCTATTTTGCACGACTATCTTTTGAATTAAAGTTGTTTAAGTTGATTAAATAACCATGAAAAGACTGTATGGATTATAGTTGCTGTGGAAGTGGGCGAATGACACTTGGTTGAGTACAAATACTTTGTTACTGTACTTAAGTACATATTTCTGGTATCAGTACTTTCCTCCACTACTTATTTTTCTGACGGCTTTTTACTTTGACTTCTTACATGTTGAACACAAATACCTGTACTTTCTACTTCTTACATTTTGAACACAAATAGCTGTACTACTACTTTCTACTTCTCACATTTCCCAAACAGGCTGGTTCCTTTAGTTTGAATGTGTGTTTGGTGGCGTGATCATTATTAATTAGAGTCATTGCGTGCCTATTGATTTGAACACGATCCGTGTATCCATCATTTCCTGGTCTTCTCTAAAGAAGAGGGACCAATGAAAACGTTGTCATGTTGCCGTTGTTCAGCATGGAAACATTCATTAGCTAACAATGACATTATTGTTCTATTAATATAAAGGGAGGTCAGGTACTCTTTAAAACAGCTGCTAGTTAGGGGTACTTTTTACTTAAAGGGGACCTATCATGCAAAATGCACTTTTGTACATTTCAAAGCCCTCTTTACTTCTACTTGAGTAAAGAAGTTTAGTCAGTACTTCTACTTCTACCAGAGTATTTTTAAACACAAGTATCTGTACTTCTACTTGAGAAAAGGATGTGTGTACTTTGCCATCTCTGTTTTGTACCAATACCCAGCCCTAACATTGGATTAGTGGACCGAGAATGGATGCACAGCCATCCTCATGCAAGAACAAGCAGAGGGAGGAACCACAAACACAGAGTTAACATTGAACGGTGCATCCTCAGGAGAGCACGTTCTAGCCCTTCACAAATGAAGTGAATGTTTCCGGAAAAAAGAAACGGAGCTCAAGAAGGCAGAGGTTTCTCCGTTCCTCCGCTCTCTTCATCTATACACTATACATCGGCATTAAGGTCACCTATTATGCAAAATGCACTTCCTCATGTCTCCTCTTCATCAACATGTGTCCCCTCTGTGTAAAGAGACTCTGAAAGTTTCAGGAAAAAATATTCTCTCTCTTTTTGTCCTGATCCATTTAAAACTGAAAATGAGCTGATCAGATTTTGGCCACTTTATGATGTCATAACGATGTTTGTCTTGTGTAACCATTAGCCAATCAGCAACCAAGGTAACCACCCCCCCCACCTTATCACCTGAATCTCCGCCTAGAGCACCATTGTGTTCTTTGTAACCAAATCTCTCTCAGAGGGGCGTGGGGAGGGGCTCCTTATTTTCATCTAAAGTAACAGACAGAGAATCAGGCACTTTGGAAACAGGGCTGAAACAGAGGGGATTATGGGTAATGCTGCAATGATCTGTTTGGTGTTTCAGCCAATCAGAGACAGGTTTCTGTATATATCTGAGACCTGTAATATATTGATGAATAACAGTATAATAGGGGACCTTTAACCAAGACAGAAATCCGGACATTTGGCACAAAGAGCCATGTCAACCCAAATGACTGTTCCATTATACAACCTAATTACAGGGCAGTAAGTAGGTCTTGATTTCACACAAAAAGAGCAGCGTTTGACTTCCTTCGCTGGCCTTTTTTAGCGCTACATTTACACTGAATTTGGCACGAACCATCTTATCAACATCTACTAAACATGGCTTCATTAAGTACATTATAAGTCCATTAAGTATGTCCAAATAGCCGGCGGCAATGACAGAAATAGAGTGTTTCCTTCAGCATGGTTCAGCTCAGCTCAGCTTGGGAGGGTGTGAAATGTGTGTCAGCTCATATTAGTATTGTTCAAAGATAGAGAGAGAGAGGAGGAGATAGTAGGACTGGGGAAATGTAATTAACTGTGAATGATGAGAGAATAGTTCTTGCACGATTTAAAAAAAAAAACACTTAACTGTGTTGGGCGACGTTTATAATTGAGTTCCTCACTGTAGAGCATTTGGCAAATTAACAGAATCTACCACAGTGGTAATGATGGGAATTTTTAAGAGGGTCTGCACACATTAAATATGCATTGTTGAGTCTGTAGAATATGATTTGGAAATATAGTTAAGAGGTTCATAAATCTTAATTGGAGCTGTTTCAGGTTTTTTGTTGCAGCTACTTTTGTTGTTTCAAACTGCAAATAGCTGATAATGATTTTTGACTAATTTTGCATTTACGATTATAGGACAAAAGGATAATTTTTTTATCTTTATTATCATGTTTTATTGGAATATATATCACAGTGATGATTGATGGGGTCTGCACAAAACAAATATGCATTGCTAAGTCTGTAGAATATGATTTATAGGGATTTTAAAACATATTAACCCTTTTTTTAACAAACGTTGTGCTTCCTGTGATTTGAATATTGAACTAGTCCATTTGGCAATCTTGATCAATTTTGAGTCACTGTGCAGCCCTGATACATTCCCTACAATTGTGTCTTCCTCTTTTGACCTGTGAGTGAAGATGGCACTGACCTCGCAATAAATACAACTCCTGACACTGACAGCGCAGAGGCAACGCCATGATATATTATTTTCTGCAGAAACCTCCCGGGACGTTCCCTGTCTGACCCTGCATCTCTTGTGATGGCAGTTATTGATGGTTTTTAACTTGACTGATATGTAAACTGTCGTGAATCTGACACTAAAGCATATGGCGGACGACCTTATTACAGATCTCTTGGCAACCAGCTGTGGATATCCAATGGAAAACTGATAGCTAAAATGGAAATAGACGTGTGTTTGTGGGTTCATTCAGTCATTATTAACGGATTGATAAGGGAGGCGTGTGGTGCAGTGGGTTGTGCGTTGGTGTTCGGATCAGGTTCAAACCCCACTGCAGTCAGCATGTCGTTGTGTCCCTGAGACACTTCACCCCAAATTGCTCCTGTGGGGATTGCCCACAGTATTGAGTATGTAAGTCGCTTTGGATAAAAGCGTCTAACAAGTAACACGTCATGTAATAAGGTTTACAAATTCAGGTTATTGTTGTGACGCGGTTTTTTGTTGCTCTACTACAGGGGTCGGCAACCTTTCTAATATGAAGTGCCATTTAAAAAATAAAATCTGATTAGTGTGCCGACGTTCGTGAACTGTAAACGGGGGGGGGGGGGGAGCTCGACGCTCTTTACCTGTCAACTGGAGGGCGGGGGGAGCCTCGCTGCGGGGAAGCTGTGGACCTCTGTCGCCTGTCAGCGCAACTTACATGATGCCGTTTAAACACATTTAAATAAATAAAGGGCGGTGCCGGCCGTCAGCGAACCGAGCCCGGTCGTCAACGGCCCGCTGGCGACCGGGCTCGGTTCGCTGACGACCGGACGTACTGTGATTCTCCAGAACACACAGTTGGCCAGTCCCCTGTGTAGCATATTATTTTCGATGACAGATGAGCAGATCGCCACTGGGCTTTCAACTAAAGACACAGCCACGCAAAAACTGCGGCATGTACAGCTCCTTATACTGCAATGTGTGAAGTGCGCTACACCCCTGGTCGTTTCACCATGGAGGAAAGCAGCAGAAAGTCAACTGGAGTTAAAGAGAGCGGGGCATAGAAGTTATCCTTCTGCGCTGTGTTGCGTGCATGGCTTCCTTCTGCAGGGGGAGACGCGCTCTGCTGGCGGTCTCGTTCAGGATCCGAAAATACAATTTAAATATTTTTGCACACTTATTCCTAGTGTGCCACTGGTTACGGTCCCGCATGGTGGCACGCGTGCCAGGGATTGCCGACCCCTGCTCTACTAGGAAGGGTTATTGGAGTCAGCCCAGTCTCTCTCTCTCTTTGACAATTTTTTTTACATATCCTGAAAAATATACTTTTTTTTTTGCAACCATGTGCTGGCTGAACCACATTTAAAGCTGACATGAACATCTTAAATAGCCAAAACACAGCACTTTACAAGTAGATATGGCCTCTTTACAATGGCAGCGCTGGTAAAACGGATGTTAAAAGCAGGACACAGTGAAGTATAAAGTTCACATGAGGGGTTTCACAAAGTTGTCAAGCTGTCCTTGATGCATTTTAAGCATCCAGCAGGAAATGAGTTCAAATTCATTTTTGGATCTTTCCCCCTCAGGGTTGACAGAAAATCATTTTTTTTTAATATATATACAAAGTCAAGCTGTTTCTAAAGAGAACAAGGTCACAGCGGCTGCCAGGATGTTTCCCCTTCCTTGCGCTTTAATCAATAATCCACGATGTTGGATTTGAGAGTGTACGGATCAATGCAGCTTCTCCTGCAGAGAGAACATCCTTCACTTCTCATTAATAAAATGTCTTGTTGGAAAAGGTCTTTGCCATTTTGTTCCCCCGTTGATCATTCAGGAAAGGGCTAATCAGCCGGTATGAATAAAACATGAAAGCATGAATCTGTTGCGTCTTGTTGTTTCCGTCTCTCTCTGGGATTACAGTGTCGGCTGTTTTTCCACTGAAATATTTGTCAGATTTCTTCGCCTGTATCTCCACTTTCAGATAAATCAATGGCCGCCCCGCAAAGATCTCAAAACACTCCATCAAGAAGAGCAATGTTTACACCGTAACCTTTAGTATTTCACCATCTTCTTTCGATCGAGGTCCGTCCGCATGACTCCTGACAACTTATTCGAAATCTCAAGCGAGCAAATTGCTATATATCGTGTTTGTTTCAACATTACTCTCCCCTGCTGTGCTGCAGAATCACTTCAGTTGAGATGCATTTGTTTCTCTCCACACACCAGACAAAGATGCTTCATTAACCCGCATATCAAGCTGGAGTCAGTGTACTTTCCCTGACCTCTGAAACCCCCTTAAGACATTGTTTGTTTTTCACTTAGACTTTGTTCATATGTCCATGAGCAGCAGCAGCGATGACATAATCCTCCTCCTACACACCTTTTGAACAGAGCTCAACAAATGGAGAATTGTCAGCCCATTCATCTGGAAAAACCAACATTAAGTCTCCCTGGATGTGTCTTTCTTCTTTTAAATGGTTGTCTGCAGCTCGCCATTCAGCAACGCAGCGTTATGAGTCTCCAAATTGGCGTTTATAATCGCGGCGTCGTTAGCCATTCTGCTCCTATCCGCCCTGCTGTCACTTCGCTCGATTTCGTCCAAACCGGCGACTTTCTTAATGCACAGGACATTCTGAAAGCTCTTCTTGAAGTTGTCCGACAGGAAGGCGTACAGGATGGGGTTAGCGCAGCTGTTAGCGTAGCCTAGCACCACCACGAAGTCGAAGGTGCTCTTCACGAAGGAGGTGGGTAGATGTTGCTGGCGACGGACGCCACGTTGAACACGTAGAAAGGCAACCAACAGAAGACGAAAACGGCCACTACGATGGACACCATGCGGGTCACTTTGCGCTCGGATCGCTTTCGCTTTGTGGAGCCAACACGCATCCCAGAGGACTTCACCTGGTGGAGAAATAAACTGTCAGTGGCTTAAAATATCCCAAATATATAAAAGCAAGACACTTTGTTCAATCTTTGACCCCTAACCCATCACAGTCCCCCTGCTTCCACTCCTACAGCTATTTATTAATTTGTACTTTATTATTTGCCCCGTTTGTTTGTTTGTTGTTCACCTTGCAAAGCGGCCTTGGGTCCCTTGAAAGGCGCTATACAAATGTAATCTATTATTATTATTATTATATTATTATTATTAACGAGACATGGATATCTCTGTAAGGAACAATGTGACACTTTGGGAAATTAAAAATGGAGGGTTTGAATTATATTGTCAACACAAGAGTCTGAATGTAACCCCTTTCTAATATTAGGAGCATTGGATATATGTTTAATGGAGATATGTTTTCTTTACATTTTTACCAAGATTTACATGAGAAAATTATCACTATCACTGAAAAGCAGGTGGTTAAAATCTTTTCCAAAATTGATGTGCAAAAGCCTATTTTTTTAAATATACGTAATGCTGTTTCTGTAAAAGCAATACAGTTTAAACTCTGAGACATGGATTCTCTGTAAGAAATCAAACCAAAGACAATAATCTTGATATCAACTGCTGTGTCATGCTCTTACCCTTGACTATAATGAGCAGGTAGCACATACAGATGACGACCCAGAGGGAGGAAGAATCCGAAGAAGAAGGTGTAGATGATGAAGGGTGGTGGAGTAAACCTCCTGAGCTCCGGCCACACGATCCCACACACTGGCTCGTCGTTGAGTCCGCTGAAGATCAACGTGGGCAGGATCGTTAACAAGGACAACGCCCCACACCGTGATGTTAATCAGCTTCGCCACGCGGGGTTTACGCCATTTTGTGGACCCTGATGGGGTGAACCACGGCCAAATAGCGTCGATGCTCATCACCATCAGACAGAAAGATGCTGG